TGAAGTCGGAACGGATGAAACGGCCAAATGCGTTTGAAATACAGTTTCATTTCATTATTTGCATCTTGATAAATTTGATTAAACAGCACACTCGGTTCGGTTCGGTTCGAGTTGCTCACTGGTGTGCGAGCGCGTTCGTGTTTCGGAGAATCGAGCATTTGGCATCGCATGCAAGCAGACCAGGCCCAGGTATGCACATTGAGATGGCATTGTACGAATTTCGTACGTTCCATCAATTTCGTCATGATTTATAAGCGCGTTCGCTCTTTCTTCAGCTGATTACCGATTGGATTTGTGCATAAATGCGCGTCGTTTGTTTCAATATTCACTTTGAATGCGTTTCCATTGACAGACCTCGGATTAATTCGCTGATGTATTTCATCATGATATTTCGATGCGAAAAATTTACACAAATATGAATAATCAATTTGATTTATATTTTTTTGTTCGATGTTTGCTACGTTGTAAATATGCAACGAAAATGATTCTCCTCCAAAAGCAAAATTCAATAAAAACAAAGATAAACGCAACGCACAATGCATTTTCTTCATCTGCAAGTTCAATTGTAAGAGAGCAGCATCAGCATCAGCAGTTGAGAATACCGACACGCAATTTAATATTTCACTCCTCATGAAAAATGACATTAATCAGATGTATTTTATGCCATGCGAAAATGAGCATTCAATCAAACAATGAATTCGGTTGTTATTGTTTATCGCTTGCCTGCAATGCATATCCATGTTGTGTGAGACACACCGAAGGTTAATTGGTGCGGTTCAAGTGGGCATTTTTCACGTAGAAAGAAACGAAGAAAAAAAATGAAACAAAAAACGAACGCGCCCAAGACGAACTCATATTCAATGCAAAAATACATATTGCTTTTCTAATCGTTTACAGCGCAAATGGGCGAAAGGCCAGCACAGACCACATGAAAAATGAATGGATTGAGGATAGAAACCACTAGGTAACCTCTTTCCATTCCGGTAATAAAAATTTGGTTTTCTGTTCTGTGAAAGGTTACACATGACATGAAACCAATGCGATCGCATGAAAGTGGCTCCTATTGTGTGTGCAACTTTGATTTGTTCTTTCTTCTGCTCAACGGTACAAGGTCTTTTGTGTGCGTGTGCATAAGCGCGCGCGCTCGAGCGCCTATTAAAAATCCATGCAATGTAACAAGTATATCAAATACAAACAAAAGCGACGACAACGACGACGACGACAAAACAAAACAAAACACAAAATCAACGAATGTGAACGTGCTGTTTTGTCGACTTCTTATATGCATTTATTTGACATGTGTAAAGCACTTCCAATTGTTTTACATTTGCAATAAATTTATGTTTTTCTCTCTGTGTGTGTATCTCTTTCAAATTGAGGGTTAAAATGCGATATAAACGCCGACTTTGTTCATGCAGCGAACAGAAAAAAAAATCACTCCATTCTGTGTGCCATCCCATATTTCTACCCATCGCATTGAATACGGCAAACCATATTCTAATGGGAAACAAGTGCCATTGCACGATAAATTCGCATATGCATTCATAATGAGAGTGGTAAACAATTTTGTTGATTGCACGGATATGAAACGGGCGAATCAAGAATGCAACGGCATGTGTGTATGACAAATAAACGTTTCGTGTGCCACCTACGATTGCAATGATTGCAGAGAACATAGCGCGCCGCGCGCGCACACTCACTCGCCAAACAACAAAATTCAGTCGACTCAATTTTTGATTATATGTCTGTGTGTCTGCGGGATTTTGGTTTCTTTTCTTGTTTTCTGTTGTCGTTGTCGCTTCTTTTTGCAATGCTTCTTTCTCGAATCGATTTTCCAGTTACCCAACTCGATTGCGTGAGCGCTTCCATAAATATTTATTTTGCAGTTTATTTCATAAAAGCAAGAAAAACGACGATAAAGAACAACAAAGTTTACATACAATTTTTTCCCTTCTTCTTCCTCTTGCTTTTGGTGCGAGTTTATTGTTCGTTGCTTGTTTTGCTCGCTTCATATTTTTCTTTTCTCGTCTTCTTCTTTTTCATTATTTTCAGCTGTTGTTTTGTTTTGCTTTATTCACGTTTCGCTGTCATCGTGCCAAAACAGAACATGATATGCAAAATTCAACACAAATGCACACACAAAAAAAATCCAGGCACATCAAGGCATAAACAGCAGAAAAAAATATAAACAAATATTTCATCGTCGCAAGCAATTAATCGAAAGTAAATCGTCTTCACCATGTGAAAATACGATGCGGCGAAAACAACAGACCAAGAGAAAGAGCGGGCAAGAGGGATAAAAAAGAAGAGACAAAAAATCAGTATGCTTGTGAAATATCAATTTGAATGGTTGTGCGACGACCGACGACGCCACCGCCGCAACACAAATCGTCGATATTTATGACATTGTCCCGCTCATTTCAGCAACCGAATGTGTATCGCCTCTCATCAAAGTACCGCTATGCTTGTTTACTTTTTGTGCGCTGCACAAGAACTAAGAAAGCAACTTACCGAAATGTGTATCAAAGCAACCACTGGACAAAGAGACTTTAGTCGGGCGCGCTAAACAGAAGATGCTATGATGATGACGATGATGCTGATGATTTTCAAAGAAGCGGATGAAGATATTATGCGTTGATGTGGGTTGCGCGCGCGAACAAAAGAAAGCTTGTTATTTATAACGGTGGTTTTTTTTTCTCGCTCCTTGTTGTTCTCTCGTTGCACCGAATTATAACATCATTTGTCATCCGTGAAGTACTTACCGCTTAAAAATTAGCGATGATTTTCACAACTTTCCGCTAGAAAAAAAAAGACACTGAAAATGCTCCAAAGAAATGAAGGAAAAAATGAACGGATTTTCTTATTTTCGCAACTCTAGAAACTCACGGTTTTAATTATATCTTCGATAACTTGAATACATACGAATATTCTTGATGAAAACTACTTCGGTTTAGCGTTAACAACGAACATTATTTGGATTTTTACGAGAAAAAAATGAAAAAAATGTTTAGAAAACGATTTAAGATCGTTTTAAAATGAAATGTTCATTCTTTCGATAGTCGTTTTCTTTCGTTTGTGATTTGTATTTCGGATCAATCAAAAAATCGTCTGTTGTTCGATTATTTGACTTACAAATCAAGTACGATGGATACCACTGGATCGGCTGACTGGTTGACAATGTCAACTGGGGCAGCTTCCTGACCATCGTTTTGGTTGTCTTCATCGTTGACGTTGTCGAGTTCGACCACTTCTTCGTTGGCAACTTCCATGGTGTCCGAATCCGGTCGGATGATGTTGGTGCCAGCTGGATCGTCTTGTGGTGCGGCTTGGCGTGGTGTGGTCGAGTTCGATGTTGCGGCCGAACACGGTGCCGGCAATGCTTGCAATAATTCACGGTCCGTATTATTGTCACCGTCGTCGTGAGCTAAATTCTGTGCAATGGCCAATACACCTTTTGCAAAGTATTCGGTTGTGGTGAAATTTTCCTTTGCTGCGGACAATTTTTCTTCGAGCACTTGATTTTTGGTGTTCAAATCGATATTGGCGCGTTCGAGTTCAGTCAACTTGCGATTCTTGACTTGCAGTTCTTGGTTCAAATGATTTCGCTCGTTCATCAAATTTGCGACAATTGCCTTCAATCGATCTCCCAAATTGGCGGTAAGTGCCTTGTAATTCTTCGTGTTGATGAGGTATGCCTGACGTTGCGACATTTTCGATCGGTTTTGTGGTTTCGACAGCATGAATTTACTTGTTCGATTGTTGTACACTGAACGCAGATGCGTGAGTTACTTTGCAGAATGACTGATGTGAATGGTCTGACGGTTGCGGAGAAAGTGACATGCCGCCTGAAAAAAATTACCTCGCACCGAAATCAATGTCAATCTCAATGCTGAAATCGATGATGCTGTTGCACACATACAAACGCATGACACAATACGGAGAGACAGAGTGGCGCTTTGAACGGTCCACTTGTGTCCAGTATATTATGCATGTATTGGTTTTGATTTCGGTTGAAGATGTTCTAACGACCGACAATTATTAGACGAGCTCACTCATCGATTGTTCTGGAATGAAACACAAACGACACTACGAACGAACCCAAATTTGTGATGACATTTCGGGATGCGCTTTTTTTTTAATTGAAAGTTTATTGATTTATTTCATTGATTGGCTTTTGAATATTAAATCATATTTCAGTAATCAGTGTACTGAATTTGGTTTAAAACAACGAATGGATTAATATGAATATTACCGAAAAAATTAATTTATATGCTACTTTGTTCCTATTTTTATTCAGAAATATTTTCCCATTTTCCTAATATAAAATTTCCTTAAAAAAATAAGAAAATGCTAAATGAACTCCAAATTGCTTTAATTGCTTTTTCATGTTATTACCTAATCATAATCAAATCTAAATCAAATTTTGGATACGTTATGAAACTTACTGTGAGAACGAACCATCAGCCCAACTAAAGCGTGCATAAAGAGTGCATGATTATTTTTTTTTCACTTATCGCTAGTAGATAAAGTGCCTTGAATTTAATCAAATTGCTAATTAAATGAGTTTCTAAATATTCATTGCATCTTACCCATTGCACTACTGCCCTGAAGCTGTTCCATTGAACATTGCACGGACAAATTTACATTGAAAATGGATGTTTTAAATTAATCGAATCCTGTCATCGACATTATTTATGAAGCTCCCATCCTTGCAGCGCACATTATTTACCATGAATATTTCATGCAAAATACAAAAGTCACGGTGAATCAGCATAAGTAGTGGTTCATTTGGATTTAAATTAGACGGGTCAACCGCAAGGTACTACATTTTAAGCGGGAGCCACAGCATGTATCGATGATTAAACGACGCCGTCGACGACGACAACGACGATGAACAGCGAAGTGTAAATGAATTGGGAGCAAACACAAAAGCGCCACATCGTGCGCTCTCGCTACAATTTTAATCGATAGAAAACGAAGCCGATTCAATTTTCAACGGATTTTAAAATGTAAATATGGATAAATGTTGTTTTTTTATTCATCATAATAGTACAATAAGCAAGTACATGTAATGCCTTTTCCCTAATTTTTCCTTACATTTCATTGCTGTGTGTATGGTGATGTGATGACGATGAATTGGATTTTATTTTGTGCAAATAATTTATCGCAGTCGTGTATAAGAGCATGTATTCTATGCGGTCACAGCGTAAATACGGAACTAATAAATGAATCAAACGGGAAGTAGAAATACGATGTGTAAGACTCAAGGTTTTCAATGCTACGGTTTTTTTCCTTTTTTCTTCATTTGTGTATTGTAATCTTATTATTTGTGCGAGCGCGTACATCAAGTGCTCATAGTCGAAGCTGTCGGATACAAAATAGAAATTGTTTCTGTTTTAAAAATCGATTAATTAGCATAGTTTCGGTTCGTTTTTTTTTCTATTTCGGGGGTAAAAATTGTTTAGTTGGTGTACGTGCCTTCTGGAACCTATTGTTGAATTCAATTTCGATTCTGATGTGAGCGTTCTGCTGTTGCATGATTTGCCAAATGTTCGGTGTGTAGAGCGTAATTTTTGCTAATCAGTGTTTCAGCCACATTCAAACCATTTTCATCACGTAGATCAACCACGTATGTATTGCGATTCATTTTGTCGCAGTGAATGATATCAACGACGGTTGCTTCACATTCGGTAATCATGATTTGTTCGATGGCTTGACGCGAATTGTTGTCCCATGGATTTACCTCTTTGACTCCGTTCAGGCGGAAATGTAAAGCATACGCTGGATACTTGTCCAAACGTTCGTCGTATTTGTACAATTGCAATGTTTTCACCTTTGCACAATTACCATAGTCCACGTAGTACACCTGGAACACATGCTCGTCGATGACTTTGATAATCTTTGCCCGGCAATACCAATTCTCGAACATTGCAATCACCTTGTCGAACAGTTTTGGCTTACACTTGTGGTTGTACTGTTGCAGGCGTTGTATGTTCCATTCTTTGTTCATCATCACCGAAAATTCATCCACTTCCATGTCACGCGTTGGATCAAACCGAAGGACAGCATAGAATTCTTCTACACTCACCATATGCTCGTACAGAATCAGTACCGTTTCGCCAATTGCCGGCAACTTCTTTGGTTGTGGATACTCAGTGGATGTGTGCTTTTCCTTCTTTTTGATCTTATTTTGAATCGGCTCGATTGAATTCGTTTGTGATGCTGGCGGCATTTTCTCTTCTGGCTCACCGTTCGTTGGTTTTGCATGCTGGAATGCCCATTCTTCTTCGATTGAATCTTCTAAACTGTTGAGAGTGCTGGATTTGTGTACGATTTCATGACGACGCTGATTGCTCTTTCCGATTTGTGGATGTGCAACGTTGCTCTGCTTCATGTATGGTACAACGGTCTTTTCTGGTTCACAGACTTTTGACTGATTTGAGACCACATTTGTTTGATTAAGTTTTCGAGTTGTCGCTGGTGTTGATTGCATTTGCGGTGCCTCTTCGAAACCATTCTGTTTGGTTGATGTTTTGTCCACTTCATCAATTGTATTCTTGCGTTCTTTCGTACCATTCGTGTCATTTGTGATTCGTACCATTGTGATTTCATCTGCCGGCGATGCTTGGTTTACTATCTTTGACCCATCTGGTTTCGAATGTTGTGGCAAATTCTTGTCGATCCATTCGGGGGACAAGTTGTTCAAAATCTTCGTCAACTGGAAATTGAGGAATTTCGGTTTGGTGCTCACCAGCTCGTTTGTGTTTGGATCATAGAATGGGTTTTCTTTGTCGGTCAATGGTGTGACGGCGATGCTCTTAATTTCGTATTGTGATGTATTGGCGAATGGGTTGAGACTGTTGTCATTTTGCTTTACCGGTGTCGTTGCCGTTACTCGTGCTGGCACTGGTGGTGGCATTGTGATTGGTAAACTGTTGCTATTTCGCTGGCGATCGAAGTTGAGTTTACTCGGTGTCACCTGGTTCAAATTATCACCGAAAAAGTACATGTAGAAATTCCATTCCTTTTGTTGTTCGACCGCGAACGGATTAATCCCTCCGCTCACGATGTTGACAAACATTTGGTTTCCATCGTTGCACAAAACCTTGTAGTGGACACGCGTGTGTAGCAAATCATGAACGCACATCTTGGGTGGGATTTGAACCAGATGGCACAATTTTGCATAGGCTGGAATGATTTTGGCGGCCTGTGTGACCTCATACAAGTCACGGTAATTTGGTTTGACATCGATACGAACCACGCAGCCGATGTCAATGAGCATTGCACCAAATTGATTTGTTGAACTATTTTGGTCACGACATTCGAATGCCAGCCGAACAGCACGAACCAAATACTTTTCCTGATAAACGTATGCAAACATTTCGCCGGGCGTCGGTGCATGTCCGAGTGGCTTCGGTGTGGATCCATACAAAACCAATGGATCCGGCATTGACATTACATCCAGTACGTATACAGTTCCTTGTGATTCATTTGCAATGTGTGAGATGAAACCGAGCCCAATGTAACCCGTCTTCCGATCAACATCAATGCACGGCGATTGTGGCTTTTGACTCTCGTTCAGTTTGAATTCATCGAGAATTGAGTACAAAATCAATTGGTTTGCCGTGCCATTTGTCGTGTTGTGCACGTCATTTTGATTTGCCGTTGTATTGATACAGTTGAGTTTACCCAGTCCAGCATTCAATTGCATCCATTTTGTGCACAGCGACGATAGAACAAAATTAATATTCGGTTCTTCCACTTCTTTCGGATCGGCTAATTTAATTGATTCCGACTGTTTCGTGATGAAGAATTCATAGTGAGAAATATGAGAAATGATTTGAAAAAAAAAACCATTAAAAAAAGTTCACTCAAATATGCTTAGTGTGCATTTGCTACAAAACAAATGTCGCTCTTACCAAAACATCCAGTTGTGCCAAAGCGTATTTTGTCGATTTGAGAGTGCTTTGAAATTTTTCAAAAGTTTCCATATAATCTGCGTTGATAATATCCATCTTATTGGGTAAGAAAAAAAATTCAGATTTGATTTGCGTCAATTGAGTCAAACTAATAAAAACTAATCGGTTGAATGAACAGCGTCGTTCTAATGTCGAATGTGTGTACTGATATAATCAATCGGCCATTTGCATTTGCTGCCGTCACAAACTGAAATTGTATGTCCGGCGTGCAAACCGAAGTGTGTTTGTGTGTGTGTTGGTGTCCAGCAATGTGAACCACCAGCCGAAATGAGAAATGTCAACACCATCGTTTGTTTATCATACACAATGAGCAGCAAGCAAGAGGCTGTATGTTTAACATGATGCTGACATTTCGGCAAAACCGTAAGTAAACATTCCAACCGAGTGCTAAATATAGACCAATTTTATGGCAAGTAAACACTCCAAAAAATATTGATACAGAAGTCATTTCATTTGCAGACAATTTTGATGCATGTGCCAGAACGTCGGCTGCTTATCATGGGAACAGGTATTTTTCGCTAGAGATGATCATTGTATTGGGTAGCAATCAAAGTCATTCATTATCTTATTTATTGTGTTTGCGCACAGCAAACGTTCAGATATGCCACAAAGTATACGACAAGATTGAGATTTGTATCAATGAGATCGTTTGCCAAAAAGTAAAATATAAAAATAAAAGCGACTTAAGAAGAAAAAAAACAGAACATGTATACATATATATGATATGTATATTTCTTGTGTGCGTCAAATGAAAGAGAGAGTGTGAATGACAACGAGTCTAAGAAACACAGAAAAAAAAATGTGACGTTCGAACAATTTTGAACTAATTACCCGTATTCATTGAATGCGTGCGAGCGCGCCCGACGAAGAGAGTTCATTTTCGTATTTGACGACAACGACAACGATATTAATGGCTTGTTCAGTAAAGTGTCCGCGAGACAAATCGACAAAAATCGCCATCTATTTTGTGTTTACACCGCTTTTGCGATTTTAAAATGAAGAACATCAACGGCCGTCGGTGTGTGAGCGATATTATGTCGATGTTCGTTTATTTTTCTTTCTTTTTTTTTTCGTTGTCATTCAATTGATTTTAATGCGGCGGCAGCAGTCGCAATGTATTTACTCATACACCGTTTTTTCTGCTCTTTCTCTCGTTCTTTCTTTGTTGTTTTATTACGTTCATTTGGCGTAGTTGTTTCAATGTATCATCTTTTTTTCTTCGTATGATGGAAGCCGAGTTATCTTATCATTGAAATGCATATGTATGGATCACACCAATAATCAGCTGATAAAATTATCATTATCACAATTGGAGAACGATTAAAATAGCACTGAGTATATTTGAATTGAGTAGTTTTTGTAGGTAAATCTTCCATATCGCACTGTTCGAGCCGTTCGACACACTTCATATTGATTGGAATTGGACAGAGAAAATATATTACGCTTATTAATTTTCCAAAGTACGGTTTTGCTATTGGTTTTTCCTCAATCAATTACAAAAACAAAATTCCAATTGGCATTCGGCCTGGACGCTCAAGCAATCATCGCATACATTGCACATACGACTGTTTAGTCACAAGTGAATAACGAAAAGATGATTATCAATTGTGTAAATCTGTCCAGAATTGTGCTGTTGTTGATCGGTAAGTTGTGTGCATCGAACGAATTTTCTAGTACTCGAAAAATTCCCCGAGTCATGTCGACACCCAACCCGCCAAGCAACATTGGCTAAGTGTTGTTAGGCAAAAAGCCAAAAAGAAAAGCTTTTGTTGAGCACGCGACCGCGTTTAGGTAACGAATTAAATTTGTTATTGCAACCCATTTGAGTTGAAAATCGAATATCTAACGTGGCTAAACAGCAGCCAACGAGAAAATTGATGTTGGCTCTGACAACAAATTTAAATGAACAAAACGGCGAGTGAGATAAAAAGGGAAAGACAGAGTGACCGCAAGCAAGTGAGAAGGAGAAAAAAATGCGTTACACTACTGCGGCTAGAAAATCATAAAATTTTGATCTGTCGTGCATAATGGCAATTAATGTTTGACAGTTTTGATTTCTTCAGGCGATAAAGTCCTTCATGTGTTGTTTTCAAAGTTTTATCCATTTCTAAAGTATTCTAAAGTATGTGTTGAATTAATAACAACAAAACGGAAAACACAACACCAATTTTGCCTGCAGAAATAACGATAACAACGACGAGCGAGTGTCACAAACGAGATACGGAGAGAGAGATGGTTTTGCATTTAAGCTTCAAGTTTTTTTTCTATTTATTTTCGTTCCATTCTATGTGCACATACGTGGTTTTTTTTGTCTAGCGGACAAATAAACCGGTAAAAACAAAGTATGTGGAGTTTCTGGTCTTTTTCTTGGTGCGTTTCTCATTTTATCATTTTCTTCTGTTTTAATTTATTTACAATGTCACCGACATAAATATACCATTTAAAACACTGCATCAGGCCACAATGTGTTTGGCTCACTTTTTTTTCCGTTTTGTGCACTCTCTCCACACATTCTGTCGTCGATGTTTCATTGCTCTCGGGGCATTTTTTTCGTTGGATTTTTCTACTACTTCTTCTTCTTCTTCTTCTTCTTCTTCTTCTTCTTCGTTTTTCTTCTCCAATTCACATTTCGCTTACTTTCATTGTATGTAGTATGACGTTGTAAGCACAAAAATAACATAAAATGTGATATCAATCAGTGATCAGCGTCTATCGTTAAATCATTACTACTACTGCGTATATTACTATATGGAGACAATTGTGTGTACACCCAAGGCACATAGAACAACAACGGAGCTCGGTGGTGTGTGAGATATAGCAAAAAGGACTGCATATGGGTCCATTTGCAGCAGCCGTGGTGTAAACAGAAAAAAACCAAGCGAGCGATCTAGCGACCATTGCACATATGAACAGTGTGTGTCACACACCGACTCTTCGACATATACTACTTCCAATTAATTGGTATTTTAATTATGAAACATGTACATTTTAACAGGTTTAAGTGTACGCCAATCGAAATCAGATTCTATTCGCAATGGAATAATAATGAATGGTGCTAACGAGACAGAGGACAGCAGTAACACGACGACGACGGCATTGGCCATCGATGGTTCAATTGATAAAAATGCCATACAACTGCAAAGTGTCGACGATGTCATTTGCCCAATCAACAGTAGCAATGAGCACCAGCCGCCGCTGCCGACGCCGCCATCGATTCAACCAAGTAAGTACGAGAGATATGAGCGGAAATTAAGGGATAAACAGAAAACATCTTCTTCTATCCACATTAATAGTTACATCCACATTAATACGTAATAATGTATCAGATCGGTGTATGTGTGTGTGTGAATAATGGTTTTTTTTTTAGCCACAGCGAGTATATTTAGTAAAATTATCGATGTGTCACACATTCGTAACGAGCAATTTGAATTTAATTTCAATATCATTTACTGTGTTGGTTCGTTTTTCTAGGAAGTGGCTCATCGTTTGATCAACATATGAAACAATTTGTGGCCAATTACCCCGATGCAGTCGTGCTGAAGTCGGAGCAAAAGGATGACACCAACGAATTGAAAACGTAAATGCAAATTGCTCGTTTCATTTTCGATTACATCATTTAATGTCGGTCGATTGTATTTTTAGATTTGATTTTAATGGAAAGCAGAACGTTGAACTGATTATCCATCGATTGGATATAAATAAGTATCTGAATTATCTACAAATTAACTTCAGTAAGTTTGTATACACTTGAGATTGATGTGTACAATGTACATCGGAATTCTCAATGGTTTTTTTTTTCTATCAATTTTCATTTTCAGCATCGCCACCAAATGAAACCAAATCATTTTATTTTACGGAATTCATCGAGGCTCCAAATATGAAGACAATCACTCTCAACAATGTTCAGCAGCTACGAATCGCCTACGATTTTAGCAAAAGTGAAGCGAGCCGTTATCTAGGTTATGTGTTGTCATATCGATTATTAGGTACCATTACTTACCTATACATTCATTTTCCCCTAAATGCATACCGTAACCAAATCGATACTTACCTTTTGTTGCAGATACAAATGAACCTCACCCTGTTGGCTACAGCGCGACAAATACTTCAGATACACGGGATAGATTGAGCATTTTGATCGAAGTACCAAAATCAAAGCAAACCAACGAAACATTGAGCCAATTTCGAACGTGGCTAACCAACAGCACCAACAAATTCATCGATGCAGAAATCAATGTCACAGGAATCAATGTGGAAAAATGCAGGTACATTTTGCGGTGCAAACGGTGTATATTTTTTGCTTTCTGCTTCATATGTTTGGTATTTCAATTGATGAAGGTCGATTAAATCAAGTCGCATGTGAATGTTTTGATTTTTAGCGAAGATAATGTTACACTTGTCAATATTACTGCCTGTAAAACATCCTGGCCGAACGCGCAAAATTGTGTTAAAGTCGATTTTTCGATTCGATTGAGATCGTTGCCAAACGTAACGACAAACGTTGAGAACCAAACTGAAACATCAGCCACAGAAGCCGGCGGCGACACAACCACTTCAAGCAATGAATTTGACATGGATCGCGAACAACTGGTTACTATGTGGGTTCGCTTTGGACGCAAAGAATTTGCGGATAATGGATTCAATGTAATATTTTTTTTGTTGGAAAAATAGTTTCAGATTTTCGATCGTGATAACAGTCGCTAATGCCGTATTTTCTTTTTTATAGGAATTCCCAGTTCCTGATGCACGGAAGCTATTCTTAGTGTGGACATCGGTGAGTTTGGCTATTTTAGCCGCTTTTCTAATGGTTTTGGCTGCCATTTGGAAAATGGATGTGCTGCGCGATTATCGTCGAATGTACTGGAACAGTGGCGACGATGAGAAACAAATTTGTAAATCGTCAGACGTTGCCATGTATCCAGCTGTGCATCAAACCGTTCCCACACTCTTCCCAAATGACCTATCAGCTCCGAACATCAGCACAGCAAACGCATTACCATTCGGTTTGTTATTTACTCATCTTTGAGCTATTTTTCATTCGGTTTTGCTGGACCATTTACTATTTTGTTTATCTCTTCATTCGAAAGAATTCGTAAGCAAGCCAATCACATATAGCATAAGTGATTTTAAGCGACGTCCATCGATTGAAGAGTCACTCAAGCCGAGCGGCAATTCGAAACGAAAAGCAGGTGAAGTGCCATTCCAAAGCGATACAGACTTTAATGGTAAGAGACAATTCACGATACTCACAAAATACATTTTATTCCATTGACTGTTTTATTTTCCTTCATCTTTGATTAGAATCGAAACAAGATCGACCGGAAGACGAAATGTACTTCGACGGTACGACATCACCTCGGTTAGTAGATTAAACAAGTGAATAGAAAAAAGATCGAAGTAATGTCGTGAGTCACAACGATTCCTTTCCAATTTTTTTTTTAAACAAACGATTGGCTATCATCAATTAAAAACCAAGAAAAAAAAACTGAAAGAGAAAAATTGATCAAAAAAGTAATTGTGTTTGTTTGTTTTTTGTAACAATCCCAGAAAAAAATGTGTTTATTTAATGTAAAAAGCAAATAAAAGAGGTAAATAAATTGGGAGCTTATTAGATGTAATTAAGACTTATAATAGATTAAAAAAGCGTTTGATTTCAGTAAATAGTGTATAGGACTTATCAAAATCAAACCATTTGGCATCACAATGAACATTCTTATTTGACTTTTTGTGTGTCTTTGAATATTTGTGCTCTGGGAGATAGAAAGAGAGAAAGAGAGAAAGAGGTCACTCAATAAATTGCAATAAACACCTTAACAAACATGCACAGTACACAATAGAACCGAGAAAATAAAAAAAAAGGAACTATGATTCTAATAGTGCTTTCACCAGATACTCGACCGATGGTTTTTCGGCAGTCTTGTACACTTGAAAACCATTTGATTCGAGGCACTTGCGTGTGCTCGGCCCGATGGCAATTAATTTAAAATTGGCTAAATTTACATCTAATTTGCGTAGAATTGCGGTTGTATAGTTCACACCTGATGGGCTGAAAAATGCCAAATATTCAGCTTTGTCATCGATCAATGCTCGCTTAAGATTCGATTCAAGGTCGCTGTGTGCAACCGTTTCATACACTTCAATCGCATCCAAATAGTAGCCATAATCCATCAGTTTGAGTTGTAGTGTGTCTTGTCGCAGATTGCCACACGGAAATAGAAACGGATACTGGAGCCGTGCACCTTCCACATTTTCGAATATGAAATCGGCCAAATTGTTTGCGTTGCCAGTGTGCTTGCCACGAGCATTTAAATCGAGTGCAACATGAATTAAATTATGTGTCACCTCACCAACACAATAATTATGTAACTTGCCCCATTTTTCGTGCAATTTTAGGCGTTCTTCGTTGAGCGCTTCTTCACAAGCTTCAACACTCCGTGGACTGGTGAACACAATGCCCGAAAAAGCATCAGGGTCTTGCAGTTTTTCGCGCAATTTATCCAAATACTTGAAACGAAACTCCAGTGTTGGCACGAAAATCGGCTGAAAATTATGCGCCTGCAACAACGTAGTATAGCTGTCGACACTTTCACTTTCCGATTTTAATAATACCACTCGCTTCATTGTCGTTGTTATCGTTTGACTGCTTTTCACTTTCAACCCGAAATTGCGTCGTCGAAATGTTCTTCTTTCTACACACAACTCGCTTCGATGCTGTTAATAAATTGAATTTGAATATATTATAACCAACGATTTGGTGCAGTGTGTCAGGTGTAAAATGATTTTCGCAATGCGTTGAATGTCGCCTAGCTCACTAGCGAAGAAAATCAATCCAAAGTTCTTTTCTTTTCTTTTTGTTTTGCTTAGTTTCAAATAATCTATTTGGCTAATTATAAATAAACATCTGTTTCGTGTATTGTTGACGATGATTGCGGCTTTGAGATCAAGCCGATGAGCTGCGTGTATTTTGTAAAAATAAACACTTGATTGGCAGATGAACCAGAAATACCGAAACCGATTATCACTAGACAATTGTAACTTTGTGTTTGCTGCTGCTGCTGCTGCTGTCATTCGTGTTTATGTCAATGTGCGGTACGGCAATTGTTTTGGGCAAAATGCCGTCTGCGGCGCCACTAGTCACTTGCAGTTCAATTCTCTTTCTCCACTCTTTATTATTGACGCTGTCAACGATGATTACATTTCAAAATTCAGATTCACAATATACTTTGGACTGAACGGTAAGTGAAGCCGACGAAAAATAGAGACAAAAGAACAACAACCGACTACGTTTTAATTGAATTAGATTGTGGATTTTCCACAACAAGAAATTTCTCGCTATTTTCAATATTTTAAAGTCTCGCACCAAACATCTGACAAACAAAATAAAATAAATTGCGTTTTGTCTTTTTTCCACTTTAGATAAATACATTTTGCGAATCATGTTGAAAATTTGGTTTTTATGCCTTTTGTTTTGGACGTCGGCGATCTCGGTTCGCTCAGATGGTTTGATTCGGTAAGTGTTGAGTCATACGAAATTGTTGTTTATTTTCGTATTTTGTTTGTATCTATAATTCGTGATATGAAAAAAAAAAAAAGAATTTAAATGCGTTCAATCGCGTGATGTTTGTCTCTCGATAGAATTTTGTGATTTTACGATAGAAAATTTACAGAAAATGCCAATATTTCCAAAATTATGCAATTTCTATATGATCATTTAACGTTTGTTTCATTTTGTGTTTATGTATGGCTTCTATATAGGTTGGCATTTTTATTTTCGTTTCTCGTAATGTAAAAGGCCATCGAAACGTAGAATATACTCTAAGTGGCTTTGAACACTTGCCAAACTAAGTCAATTTATGGACTTTACATTTCATTTTTTTTCTGCACATCCGTCGTTTCTTTGTTCTGTTAATAAACTATTTTGACCGAAATGACCTGTGTTGTTGTTGTTCTCACCATAATTTTTTCTTCTTCTTCTTCTTCTTTTTCCCAAAGAGCATGACACATCTATCGCATTATTTGTTTTAAGTGTTATTTTTGATTGCGGCTATCAGTGCCAAGTAGCCAATGAGACGCATATAAACAGTTTCTTGGACTCTACTCACATGATACTTACTTACTGTCATATTATTATTAATACCGCCATATCGCTCATCCAACTTATTTAACAAAGTGTACATTATCAGCAGTTAAATAATAAATACCATATACCCGTGTGACTCATGAAATGCAATGCAATGAAATGGAATACTTACACCAAAAAAAAGAAACATTGCATGAACACATGATTCATGATTGCTATTTTCGCTTTTAATTTTATTTATTTTGCTTATCGTACGGGATTTTTTTTTTGCATATTTTTTTTTTCACAGAGTTCCTGTAGAAAAAATTGAAACTGTGCGCAATTTCTTCCATCGTGTCGACACTGAAGTTTCACAATTGCGTATGCAATATCACAATTTGGAAGGGCCAACACCAGAGCCACTCTCAAATTACCTAGATGTATGTATGCAAAATTAAATGTGATTCATAAATCGCGTATGAATTGCGCTATTTTTTAACGCATATTTTTCGACTCTCATACATTAGGCTCAATATTACGGTGAGATCTCCATTGGTACACCGCCACAAAAGTTCAAAGTCGTTTTTGATACTGGCTCATCCAACCTGTGGGTTCCATCGAAAAACTGTAAATTCACCAACATTGCCTGTTTGACACACAACAAATACAATGCCAAGCAATCATCGACCTACAAAGTAAACGGAACGGAATTCGAAATTCGCTACGGTTCGGGAAGCCTTTCTGGTTATTTGTCAACTGATACGCTCGACGTAAGTAAATTGAGTCACATTGAAAATTTATTGAACAATTTCTTTTTAATCATACAAAATTGTTTGTTTTTCTTTGGTTCTGGATTGTCTTAGATTGGCGGCTTGAAAGTCAAAGACCAAACTTTTGCTGAGGCAATCAATGAGCCGGGTTTGGTGTTCGTTGCTGCTAAATTCGATGGTATCCTTGGTTTGGGCTATGGAACAATTTCGGTTGATCGTGTCGTTCCACCATTTTACAATTTGTACAGTCAAGGCTTGATCAAAGATCCAGTATTCTCGTTCTACTTGAATCGCGATCCATCAGGTAAAGAAGGCGGTGAAATCATTTTTGGTGGTTCCGATCCGGCACATTACAAAGGTGACTTCACTTATGTACCAGTCAATCGCAAGGCATACTGGCAATTCCAAATGGATTCGGTCACTGTTGGCGACAAGAAATTCTGTAATGGAGGTTGTCAAGCAATCGCTGACACTGGCACCAGTTTGATTGCCGGCCCAATGGAAGAAATTACAAGCATCAACCGTGCCATCGGTGGAACACCAATCGTCAATGGACAATACATCGTGGGCTGTGATGCAATTCCGAATTTGCCAACAATCGGCTTTGTTTTGGGTGGGAAACGCTTTGAATTGAAAGGAATCGACTATGTGTTGCGCATTAATCAAATGGGTAAAACCATTTGCTTGTCCGGTTTCATGGGAATCGATATTCCACCACCAAATGGACCATTATGGATTTTAGGCGATGTATTCATTGGACGTTACTACACCGAATTCGATATGGGCAATGATCGTGTTGGTTTTGCTGATGCCGCTTAAATGCCGTCGTCGCCGCAGTCATCGCTGTTGTTGATCTTTCAGTCGCAACCACAATTTTACCAAAAGCAAATCTCTCGTCACTTACACAACCACCAATAAGAGTGCTCGTTTATTTCCATTTTTTTTACACTAACATTGAAAAACGTAGCTCTAAAAACTAACAGACAAGAAAATATTTTTTGTACCAAAAGAATGAAATAACACCTCAATTATAGTAGAATAAACGATGTCTTGTAGAATGAACAATGATAGCGAAACAACAGAAACTAAAACAAAACAGAGATAATGGGAATTAATTTGGAGGCTATAGAACAAAAAAACATTCGGTTAATTTTCGGGATTGAACATAACAATAAATTTTCTTTCTGCATGATGTACTCAACCCGATGTGAATAACAGTTTTGAATAAAGAAATTTTCACTACAAAAACAATATCGCACGTTTACTTTCATTTGCGATGTCGTCATTCTCGCGATTTCATTGATTAATGGTTTGCCAGTACGAGAGAGAGGGAGAGGGAGAGAGATAGAGAAAATTTGTGCATTGTGTTGTTCAAACACATACACGCACGCATACGAGACGACGGCTAAGTGAAAACCTTCTTCACATCGGCTACATGGAAAATGGATTTTAGAATTTATTGGAAGGCGTGCAGCAGTTTAAAATTATAGCAAAAAGTCCTAGCAAACACGAATAAAAGCGCATTTGAATTCAAAGCCAAAATTATTTGGCACCGCACACCAAATGGCAACAACGAATAAACGCTGCACGGAATGGTTTTTTGTTCTCTCTCTATCGCTCTATCTTGGTATATCTCGCTTCTTCTTCTTTTGGTTGAGTGTATGCAAAGCAAATAATAGACTGACAAAATCATTTATACGGGTCGGGATGCTTACGTCCAAATACAAACGGAATCGAGCAAAAGAAAAGGTCAGCTTTTAATGGTAACGATACAGAGAGAGAAAGATAAAGAGAGATAGAGAGAGAGAGAGAGACAGTAATAGTGAAAAAGGGCGAAAAGAGGTGGATAAAAGAGTAAGCGGCAACAGAACGGGGGAGCACGAGCAAGAGAAATGAATAGAGAGAAATAAAAAGAGTAGAAACATACGATGACCACTTTATTTGAAAGTATTCTAGTTGTTATTATTCATTGGATTCGGTTCTTCTCTTACGTAATTTCTAACGTGTTCTCTTCTTCTTCTTCTATTTTTTCTTTGTTTTTGTTCTTGTACTTTGTACGCCTAAATCCATTCTTATTTGCAGCTCTCTCTAGTTTTCTTTCGCTCTTTGTTAAAATTTTCCTTACTTTTCCCATTGTATCTCTTTGTTTTAAATTTCTTAAATTTCTTTCAATCCAATCATTGGACTAAAATTTGTCTAGCCTGAATTTTCAGAAAATATTTTTTTGCTGGTTGCTATTTGTTTTAATTTTCATTCACCCGGAATTCGCTTTGGATTTGGTTGAAATTCACTTTTATTAGTTTTTTCTTGTTGTTGTTGTTACTGTTACTGTTGTCAGTGTAGTTTTTTGTTTGTTCTTAATTCACTTTAATAAATACGCTTATGCGAGTAGTAAATAGTTTTTTCCCTAGATTTTTCTTTGTTGTAATCAATAAAAACAATAATCGTTAAAATGCAATCATTATTTTGTATATTTAAATTGTTTGTTCTTTTCCTTCTCTTTATTTTTATACAGTTTGGCAGTGATAAAATTCTCTTTTATTCATTTTCCGCTTTTGTGTGTGTTCTATTTTAGAGGCCGAATGAATGAGAGAGAAATAGAGAGAGTAAGAATGAAATTTTCTTCTTTTTTTGTGTGTGAATCAAGCCGTGGTGATGATGTCGAAAAAAACATGGTAAGGTTGAAAATCACACACACATTAAAAGCATTCTGAGTGAATGGAAAAGGATAACGATTTTTAGGTCGAATCCGTAGTTAGTTGATAACCAGCGGAAAATAGGCAAAAAGAGAATCATCTCTGATTTTGTAAAGGTACGCAATTGCATAGAGTATTTGATAAGATTTTGTTGTTGTTGTTGTTGTTGTTGTTGTTCAAATTTAAATTTATTATTATGTTCATTCTCTCTTTTTCAGTTATTTTTCTTCTTCTTTTGAAATATGACTAAAAAATATCGATAAAATCTATTTGTTGTTAAATATAGAAAAAAAAATGTTTTGAAATCAAATCAGCGACAATTGATTAATTTTTTTAATGTATTAATTGCAATAATCATATGTTCGTAATGCATTCAATTTTAGTCGAAAATGTTAGAATTACTTTTTTTTGTATTTGTTGTTGTTGTTGTTGTTGTTGTTTTAAGCTAAATTAGATTGTTTCCTATTCGTTTTTTTTTTGGTTTGCACACTTGTTTGATTTGTATTTGTTCGCTTCCAATTCGAATCCTATCATTCTCGATTTATCAAACGCTTTTTTTCTCTGTCAATTTTGTTGCACGCGGCGGGGCTTTGCACTTATAATTCGAACACGTAAATTGTTTGCTTTATTTTTAGATTTGATAAAATTTTTTTTTGTTCTGTTAATTTTAGTTTAGCCTCATTGAGAATAATATATATGTAAAATTCATCATATAGTCTAGACAGCCGATTAAAAAGTTTTAAATTTTTTTTTTGTCATTTCTCTGCTTTTTTTTGCTTGTTCGTTTTGCATCTGTTTCTCAATGATGATCTTCAAATCGCCCAAAATTGATTTAAAAAATGTCCAAAAGAAATGGAATAAAACAACAAACAAGATGGTTCAACGACGCAAAATGAAAATTGAAACACGGCGAGAAAAGTGAGAAATTGCGGTTTCCTTACGTTACGTACATAGCTCAGTTGATAGTTTTTGTTGTTGTTTGTTTGTTTGTTTTTTTTTGTTAAATTTCTATGTTGATTAAACTTTAAATCGTTTTTATAAACATGTAGACACATCAGAGGGAGCGGATTTCAATTCAAATTGGATTTTCTGATGGATTTGTTTGTTTTTAATTGTGTTTTATCGATCGACTAACACCCGTTGTGTGGAATCGTGGTGTGTATGTGCAATGGGATGTTTAATTCCTAATAAATGGTTCAACCTCGAAGTGTGTTTTTAAATGCTCTAATTTCTCTCATCAAAATACTAAAACATTTTTGTTATTTGTTTTTTTTTTGTTAATGTGTTATATCGGTTGGTTGATGTGGTTTGTATGGTTGTTTTTCTTCTCCCTCTTCTCACAATTAATTTTTTATTTTATAAATTTGTTAAATCCTTTTTTCTTTGTTTGGTATTTATTTTTTACAAGTCTATAAGTGGAAAGAAAGTCTTATTTTTATTGTTGACTACCACTTCGGGCGATAATCAAAGATCCGCATCGAACATTTGCAGTGATTTAGTTATTGTGTCGTCCTTCAAGCATGTTTCTAAAAATTCCTCTATTGTTATGACCCCGTCTTGGTTTAAGTCAAATTTTCTAAATACTTTTTCGACTTGTTCACGAGCCTTTCGATCATCGTCGGTTTGATTTGGTCGACGGCCCATCAGTTCGTGCACCGATTGGACGATTTCGCCTAGCTCACTTCGGCTTATGCACCCATCACCGTTGATGTCATACAATTTAAATGTCCAACGAAGTCGTTCGTACACTGAACCACGCAATAGTGTTGACAATGTCACGAGCAAATCCTGCATTCGAAATTAACACAAAGAATGAAACACAGAAGAGGAAAAAACGAACACGAAATCAAACAATGACAAATTAAATTGAATTGTTAGACCAACAAAAAAAAACAAAAAAAAAAACAAAACAAGCGCGAATGAATTGAGATAGATAGAGATTGCGAAAAAATAATAATAACCAGCGAGCGGGGGTTCACTTACTCTGAAGCTGATGCTGCCATTACTGTTCACATCAAAGGCTTTGAACACATAATGTGCATAAATACTTGAATCTAAATAATTGATAAGAATAAGAGAGAATGAATTTTTATATGTAAACTATATTATTTTCGTCGGACGGAAAAGAAAGAGAGTGCAGTTAACGTCAAACGCTTTGAACACATAATGTGCATAAACACTAGAATCTTTTATGAGGGAAAGCAGAGAGAAGAAAAAAAAAAGAAAAACGTCAAATCGTGTGAATGAGGGAGTGTGATGCAATGGATAATAAAGTTAGTCAAAACAAAGGCTAAAAATCGTCGTACGTGTTCGTCATAGAATTGTTCACTTGACGTTGTTATGACGTTGACAGGCCATTCTGTGTCAAGCTATTGGCTGCATTGAGTGTTACGCAATTATGAATAATTAACCCGAGTGCTTGTGTGTGAATGAAGAAAACGCTTTTGGTCTGTACAACAGCAACAGCACACAGCATTGTGATGGCCTCACAAAAGAGGCTGCACTTGAAAAACACACCCGAGTCTCCCTTTCACTCTCCTTCGCACGCACACACACACACACACACACACACAGCAGCAGCAGCATCTCATGCTCACCGATCCGTTGCAGATATATATTTAAATTTTTGCTATCAATACGCGCGCTCAAAATTGCAAGACACTTGAACGGAATGGCACTTATCAATTAACCCCTTTAAGAAATGAAATGAATGGATCGACGAAGAGCGAGGGAGCGAGCGAGAGCAAAAGAGAGAAAGTGAAAATAAAATGTACCAAAGCAAATAAAATTCCCATCGAAAATTCCATGTGCCAATTGGACTTGGTCGTTTTGACATGGAACAACAAAACACCACCACCACAACCAAGACCAACAACAATAAATGTGTGTTCCTTTGTGTTTGCTACAACTCTAATGGGGAATTGCAACTGTTTCAAATGTGCCAGCCAACAAATAATCACGTCTTCGTAATCGGCTAGCACGTTTGAAAACGGAATTTTCTCAAGGAATTTCCAAATATAAACACACAAACGGTGTTGAACATTATACTTACTGCCATGAGGGAAGAACTTTGCATAGATATCTTTAAAACACTCTTCATGAACAACACCTTCAGGGCATTCCTGTGGATAGAACGAGAGAGAGAGAGAGAGAGAGAGAGAGAGAGAGAGAGAGAGAGAGAG